TTCCCCTCATCTCTGGTCTTCTCGACTTTGTCTTGACACCGGGTTCAGGTGTGGGATTGATGGGAGAGTTGGATAGATTCTCCGCGAGTCTACTTTTATTATAATAAGCTACAGTCACCGCGTCTGTAGTCAGCCTACTGAAGATCGCGGTGGGCATCGTCGAGAGCGACGGTCGAACTTTCAGTAAGGATATCGCTTGGTGCGACGAGGCAGGACTCTAATTAGACAGTGAGAATAACCTGGTGGCTACTTGTACTTTATACGGCTGTGATCATGCCTAATCTAGCCGGCCTTAATAATCTCATGGACGGTACCTCTCCCGCGGCAGTCACCGCGTTGCTTCAATTTGATGAAAATAGTGGTGGATATCGTCGTATGGAAAAGTACCGTCTCACAAAGGTAAACACGCTGGAAAGTTGGCAGGTACACAGGCTTTTAGGAGGGACACATGAACTGTAAGTTAGGAAATGACATATGGACAGCCGCAGTGTTGACCTATTAATCGATGAGAGGCGAATAAGGAAGCGTATTTGAAGTTCAGTATGAGTTTCCAAAAACGGACAGCACATCGACTCAATGTTACATGAAAACGTGAGCACAAAGAGCTCTAACAAATGATCCTCTGTTTGGTCAAAGTGCAAGCCTGCACTGGATTCAGTTATATGGTTGATATTGGCTGTGTCCGCTTCTACCTGAGGTTTTTGTAAATAACACCTTAACCAAATTCCCCTTTAATGCCTGCCTCGTCTGAGCGTATTGTTTCCAGGAACTCGCGATTATTTCACATTGAGTAGGCAATCACGTCATAAGTGTTCTCCCAGTTGTCCTTTGTCGAGTGTGCGTATGGCCACATTGGGTGAATTGTTCCGTCTCTTCACCGCTAGCCGCTGTTCATGCATACGGGCACTAGGAGATTTCTCGAGTTGGCCAAAATAGACTTTATTACAACAGGGACACTATATTTTGTTGCCATTTTTTGCTGTTGAAATAGCCAAACCTGTGTTTGGAATGTACAAGTCAGGTGAACAAAGTAGTTGTAGGCTTCTGTGTTATCTTCAACTAATGTTTTTTCAGTTGTCTTTTGCCAAGATCAGATACAGTTCTTGTGAAAAAAACATCTGTCAGCCGGTTGGTTTTGACATCTGGAAGGTTGCAGCTCTGGAAATGCCTTTTTCATCAAACCTCCGTCGCCGCAGAAATCGACTAAGTCAAGAAGACTTGACTTCTGAGAAAGTTGTTTGAAACCGTATTCTATTGGAAAGAGGATGAGGGTGCGATCACTGGGAAAGTAATTGTTTCAGCCGTCGGCTCCGTACAAGAGGTAACCTTCAG